GAGCCTGTCCTACCAGCAGCTCAAGGACTTGAAGAAGAACAACGTTCTCCACATAGACGTGCGGGAGCGGTGGGAGATCGACAGATCTGGGAAAATCCCAGCGTCCATTAGCATACCGCGTAAGTTATTAACACTGCTGCATGGAGGCGTTGGGTGTTGTCAGCGCACCGTTATTGACATCGCTCTGTGGAGACGCCCGGTGTTCCCCTTTGCATGTTGATAAAGTCTGGGGACAGGTGGTGGTGGCTGAGCAAAGAGAAGCTGTGCTAGACAGTTGCTAGTATGTTGTGAGGCTAAACTTTGCCTCCAGAGGAATTAGAAGCATTACAGTGTAAGCTTGCCTGTAGATGGAGAATAAAGGAGACTTTTTTTTCCTGTGTTTCCCAGTGGGTGAATTAGTGGAAGCTCTACAAATGGACCCAACGGAGTTCAAGGAGCGGTACAATCAAAAGATGCCATCCAAGTCGGACCCTGTGGTTTTCTCCTGTTTGGCAGGAACAAGAAGTAAACAAGCACTTGGTTTTGCCATGTCTTTGGGTTTCAGCAGGTACGACTTGTGTAAGGATAGGATTAATGCAGCCTTCTCCCACGAAGCAGAATGTTTACCCTTGCCCTCTCAGCTTCTTGTGGGCAAGGGTAGAACTTTATATGTGGAATATAAACAAAACTACTGGTGTTTGAGTTAGACACCTCCTCTTGTCTCTGCTGAACTTGGAAAGACCCCATTGGGCATTCCAGGAAGGTGAAGCGTATCACTTTGTGAACCCGCCCCTCGGCATGTGCCATGGGCGATGCAATCTCTTGCAAGACCACACTGCCACCGAAGGGTCTTTCTGGCTCTTAGGGCTTCATCACTAAGATGTTGCTTCCTTATATAGCTTCATAAGCAGTAGTCCTGAGATGCAGGATGATTGGAAAGGTGGAGAACGGCTCGCTGTGGTAGATGTGTGATCTTAAATAGCTTATGAAAACACGCCCGCTGGTAAATTGAACCTGTACAGGTCACTGTTGACAAGGTACGCCTTCGCTTTCAGTAAAGCATGGGATTGTTTGCCAGCAGTAAAGCCGTGAAGGCAATGGCTAAAAAGAGAATGAGATTGATAGAGAGTGAAAGCAAAAGCAGCGTTTGGTTGGCAGAACTGTTAAGCCCATGCCAGAAGGTGGCTTGCTGAAGACTGCAGATAAAATTTAAAAAATCGCTTAGTTGCTCATGTTTTCACTGAACTGCAATTTATGAACTGGAATATCCCTGCTAATTCTAGTAGAAGTTATGTAACCATGTTCTTATTTTGTAGATACATTGGTTTAGTAAGTGCAAATATCCTCCCTTACCTGTTTTCACACTGCCTAATTGAAGGAGTTGGTTTTGTGCAGACTTATGTTGGATCTATAGAGCGTGTAGGTTTGCAAGGAAGTAAAGATTAGTGTGCTGTGCTTGTTTGATGACATCTGAAGTACTCGACATAGTAACATGTAAATTTCCCACTGCAGTGAGTCTGTTCTCTCTTTTTAAAAAGTGAAGTGGCAAACTGTTCTGTTGATCCATCTGCTGCTGCTTGCTTGATGTTTGATGTCTAGCATTGTGCCATTTGGAAAAAAAGAGTTACAGAGCACACTGCATGGCAGCAGGCAGCATTAGAGTACAAGAAGTGTCGATCTGGCTCATTGAAGCTAGGTACAAGTGTATTTGATTGCAGAGAATTTTTATCTGTTTTGGGGTTTTTTTCTCCGATTTGTTTTGGTTTGGGGTTGGATTTTTTTTTTTTGTTTTGCCATGTCCTTTTAGATACTTTTCTGAAGAAGAGTCCTTCTTAACATTGTATCTTCTGTATATTTTCAGAGTTCAGCAATATGCTGGTGGCTTTGAGGACTGGGTAAAACATGAACCTCCAGAGACAAAGTGAAGGTAACTACGCCAGCCCTTACTTCATCAAGGCTTCAGGATGGTATGTAGTTTTGGCATTCAAGCTACGTGTATTCCACTCCCAGAATACAGCCCACTCCTATTTTCATGTGTAAATGGACATTCGCCTTCAAATAGCCATTCATTTCAGCTGCTTGGTTTAAATTGTATTTAAAGATTGTGACATGAAAAAGAACATTGAATTTTTCAACCTTTACGTAGAGCTATGGTTTTTGGTGAAAGTATGTAAAGAAAACTTAAGACCTTATTATGTTTACTAAGATTTTTGTACGATGTAGTTTGTGGCTGTTTAATGATGGTAGAATAAACAAACTTACCCTTTCCCAAGTAACTGTGGTAGTTTGTTTAGTGTAGTTAAACTGCAGATATTCTAATGGAATTGGGGTAACTTCCCTAAGCACAGATTTATTAATACTTCATGTGTAGCTGGAGTTCTAAAATAGTTGCTGTGTTATCAAGGAGTAAGAGTACAAATGTTTAGGTTTGTACTCACATGATTGTAAGGCCAAAACATCACTATTGGTCAGAAAACCCAAAGGGAAACTGACCTGATGCTAGAATATTTGCTGTTCAAAATGTTGATTCCTTATTTTATACTCAGATCTGTTTCTGAGCACAAAATGCTGTAGCATTCAGTTGACAACTTCTCTCAGCAGCTCAGTATCAAGTGAGAACTTGTCTGTATTTGAAGTTACTATTACAGAGAGGTAATCATTTTAGGCTGGAAAATTTGAGGCATCCAAGGAAGTTACTAAACCCCCTTCCTTCTTGTATGTATGTTAATTTGCATGTCTTAAACTTTAAAAAATAAGCCAACCCATCTCATACCCACCTGTAAATTTGCATAGTCATCATTTTAAGGAATTTTTTTTGCTTGGTTTTTTCAGTGCTGTTAGCATTTCAGGGGAACTAGCAAAGGTGAATCGCTTTGGCCTCTAGAAAATTGAAGTCCTAGCACAGAAATTCAGGACTCTGCAGGATATCTGGGAGAAAGAATTAAAATGTCTGGTCCTGCTCTAATTGGTATTGCAGGAGCTCTGCACTTACCTATAGTTCTTCCATTCTGACAGTGCTGTCTGCATGGTGGGAAGAGGACCTAAAAAATAAACCACCTCAAGTTTAAAGAACAGAGAAGAAAAAATAACTGATCTTAATAGAATTTTATTTCTAGTAAGTCCATCAGTCATTTGTTTCTAGAGAACTGTAGCTGGCCCAGCCAGCTGTGTTAGCTGTGCTGGTGGACAATGTATCTTACAGGGATTTCTGTTCTCTCCAGTAATAATAAAGACCATGTAGTATAGCTGTCGTAATACTAAGTAAGGAGTGCCATTTTCTTCAAAGTATCATTGACTTTTTAGTGGTCTTACTGCTATACTTTATTTCCAATCATAAAAAAAAAAAACTGGAATTCAGACCAATTTCCAAAACACTGCTTTAGTTTAACTGATGAATTAATAGGAGTAAGATGAAATTAAAATGCCAGGATGAGTAAGGGTGTTATCTTGTTTTCAATTACTGTGCAGTTCTAACTATCTTACGCTGGAAAGGTCTTTCTCAGACTGCATCAGGAGGAGTAACAGATGCCAACGCTTTTGATGGATTTACCTAAATCCTATGATTTTGCCTGTTTACCATGACCTAGACTGTTGGTTCCAGAGTCAAAGGGATGACTGAAGCTCACTGTTGGCTGTGTTGTGCCAGGCCTCACCAGGACTAATGACGCTTTTTGCTGTCGAGCATTAAGGGCACACTGAAAATGTTTAGCTAAATGTACAATTAAGCATGCCTAGCTGTATTGACCAAGCCACCCAACTTCAGCGTACAGATGAACAAAGCAAGGAGATCTCATCAACTACACTTGGTCACAATTTAATCATAAATGGCCAATTCTTCTTTTTCTAGTTTGTTAAAACTTGTTTGGAATACCTACAACTACATAACCACAAAGAATGAACAACAGTTACACTGAGTCACACCAAGATCTGTCTAGCCCATTATTTTCTGTTTGGCAGCAACCAGTGGTAAATACCTGAGGAAGATGTAAAACAGGGTGTGCAGTGATACAATCCGCAGATTATTCTCATTTACTACTCCGAGTGCTCTGATACTTCCTTCAGGCTTTTTGCATGTCCTGGTATATTTGGGTATTAGTAGATTACCAACACAACCTCCTGGCAGTCACAGCAAGTGGCATTGGGTTTAAAATGTGTTGTGAGAAGTCTATCCCTTTGTTGCTTCTCAACTTGCCATGTATTGTTTTCATTGCATGCTCCCGTTTCTTCTGTCAGAAGTGATAAACAGTTGTCACCTCATCAGTCTTTACACCACTTAATATTTTTCTAGACCTCAGCTATCTCTTCTGAGCTGAAGAGTTGTGGGGTTTTTAATAGGAAAGCCACTGTGTATGTTATTTTCATCGTTTTTATTAGTCTCGGTAGATCTAGCTTTATTAATCTTGGTAGCTTTTGCAAAGTGCTTCTCAATTATGTGTTACTGATGTTTACCTAAAGAAAGGTTCCTGTTAAAGAACTCCACACCAAGGTCAAGTTGCATTGATTTATTTCTACTCCCCAAGTCCACATTACAAATAGCACATTTTAGACTTCAAGAAACAGAGGCAAATAGCCAAATTCCATTTCATCAATCAAGTGTCTATAAAAGGTATGGATCAAATGACAACAAAAGTAGCAAAGACCAAGATGTTTGGGCTTGTTTGCCTAATGTTTTACCTTTTAAAATGACCTGAACAGAAATAAATGCTAGTAGCCGAAGGGGCTACATACAACACACTTCAGTTGTATTTTGCTGAATGATCAGCCAATTACAAAGACAGTTACTCACAAAATCTGTTAAGCTTTTTTTTTTTTTTTTTTTTTAAAGGGGACAGCTTTTGGAACCAAGATGCATCCCGGAGCAAGGGCTTTCAAGAATTTCCCTCCGGTATTTCAGACCAGTGACATGTGTTGTTTCGGGGGGGGGGGGGGAAATTAAATAAAAAAGGAGAACAATGTGACTGCACTTTATCATTCAGTTTTGATACTTTTGGTATTATCACTCAAAATTAAGTTGTACAGAACTTAATTAGAAACAAAGTTATCTAAAAAAATTAAGAAATTTGATTTAGGCCAATTCCTGACTTCAGTGGGGTATCTGCCTGAGTAAGGAAGACAGGATACAGACTTCTGTTTGAAGGAATCTCATTTTCTCCAGCACATAGTTAACCAAGGAATCCCATTTCAGTTATTCTAAAAAGTTGCTCCTAACGTCACAATTAAGATTAGCCAGTATGAAGCTCACTGAAAGCTTGAACCTCTTAACTAAACTCTAATGAACCACACAAATTCACACTAACAGTGAAGGCAGACTAACAGTGTATGTCTTGTACAAAACAAAATTCACCATAAAAAACGGTAATCATATCCAAACTGGTACTTGATTATGAACTATTCCAATTGTACTATACAGAACGCTTACTTGCAAAGAAAAGAAATCATAGTATGTTGGGGTTTTTAATTTGTAACACTTGAAATGTTTAAGAAAACTGCAGAATCGTTATATATATTGCACTTCTCTGGTCAGCTGGGCTATTATGCTTCATGGCAAAAACATTCTCCAAGTATATCTTCTGAGTAAAACAGCTTTTTTCTAATCCAAAAAAAAAAAAAAAGGAACTGAATTTCTTTCCTGCAGCTGTCATTGGAACGGTAACAATATTCTTTGCTGGCTTTGTTTCTGAAGAATTGCTGTGTTACTTGTTACAGAATCCATATTTATTTTTTAAAAAATCAACAGAACTCAAGGTAATGAATAAATTTAACATACAGTGAGTGCACTATCTTCCTTCAGTCACAAACAAAATGAAGACAACACAAGTCATTAATACAGTTACACTTAGGCTTCAGGTTACTGTCACTTTAAAAATAGTTCAATGGCAAGTTACAATTTCCTCAAAACAAACAAGCCCAATAATGAACTACTTGTTTTGAGTGGATGGTGTTAATCTTTTGCAGCTTGGTTTAACGTTTGATTCCTTACACTGAAAAATCTTAGTACATCTGCTCCAGCGTCAGAGAAAATGATGCAGTTTTAGAGAAAAAGCTTTCAAAATGCTTGACACAAACAAGCTATTTATTCTTCAAGTTCTTTGTCAAAGATGTTACTAAAACCTTCTGTCCATTTCATGAACACAGGAAAGATCCCAGGGTGTCTTGAGTCAAAGTGGTCCATAAAGAAATTCTTTGGAATGTCTTAAGATTGGCTATAACTAGAGTTCTGGCTACCATTTGGACCCTGTTCTCCTTCACTGTTTGGAAAAAAAACCAAAAACATGTCTTCAAAAAGAAGCATCATATTACATTTTTGTCTTTTTTTAAAAATTATTAAAAATACAGTATTTTGAAAGTAGTAAAAACCTTTTGAAGGAAAATACTTCCAATATATACACAAATAGGTTAAGATACTCTACTCAGTTTCACTAAAAATGTAAAGGTTATTCTCTGCATGCATGAATAACTTCAGTGTATTTATTTAAATAATAGTTTCAATATATCCCCATGCAGCTGCCTGCTGAATCCGCTTCTGAAGTCAGCATGTCAAAGTTCAGATTACATAAGCATGTGCACAGGAATCTGCATGTGCAGATATTTAAGCAGTGATATTTAATCACAGGAATTACATATGACATCAAACAGGCCCAGTTCCAACGGATCTGGCTCAGCATGGAGCCTCGCACTGCCGTTCCTTACCTTTGCTAAGCTGTATTGATCACATTCTAATCACATTAATGCTCTCCATAAAACAGTGTATTCTGCTTCTCACTAGTTCCTGAACAATCAGACTGGCTGTTTGTAATAGAAAGGTCTGCACCATAAAAACATACGCTATACCTCAAATTAAATATCAACTCATTCTGAGTATTCCAGTTTTTCCATGTGAAAGGTGTATTAAGGAAGTACAGTACCTGTTTGGAGGTGGTTTTGGTTTAGGCATTTTACTAAGAATAGTAGCCATCTCTTTCCTCTCATCAAAGTTCTTCCACTGCTCATACAGCTTCAGAATAACCCTGATTATTTCTAAAATCTGATTAGAGAGAAAAGAGATCCTAAGGTCAGACACAAGAATGAATTTATCTTTGTCATAGTCAGTTTAAGTGTGCAACTAATTAAATGTGCCCTGAACTGAAATTATGCAGCACGATTTTCATATTATAAACAGAGCTGTCTCATACTTAATCTGGGCTCACAATCAACCATTTCTATAATTAGTTTTTGATTTAATTTTGCAAGGAGCCTGAACACAATCCTTTCCCTCCCATTTAATTATATATACCACTTCTCCCCTGCAAGCTAAACAGCTTTTTATTTATTTATTTGCAACTACTGCCACAGTTTACAACTGTGCTACAGGGAAAACGCAGACACCTGGCAGCATGACTGCAGCTGGATGACAATGGATTACCAATACAGTAACTGATGGCTAGAAATGTTCTACACGCATCAGAGGCACAGCATAGGAAAAGCAAAAAGCCCAAAACCACAAAACGTTAATCTGAATTCTCTCCTTCCAAGAAATAAAGAGTCAAGGAGTGTCTAAATACTTCTTATTCTTAGAATATTCTCTCTTCTGATTATTTTACTCTTATATAAATATAATAAGAATAGTTGAATTTTCATATTCCACTTCTGGAACCGTAAGCATTCTCTACCAGTTTGGACATTTTCTATTACTGAACCTTAACTACCTTTATTTCCTATTAAATTTCTAATGCAATATTCTATATAGAAGGTGGAAAATGTCTGATTCATGATTTTGAGGAATCATTCTCTAATTTAATAAACTTGACTTCTTTCTTCTTTTTAATATCCTCGAAACAAAAGTCATAGTTGGCTAAAAGGTCCATGGTGTTCATGTAAAAAAAAAAAATCAAGCTTATATTGTATCACTGGCATGAGAACCAAGACATGTAAACATTGAAACATGTTTAGCACCAAGCTTATGGTAACTTTATCTGTCAAATGTAGGTTGGTTCTCCTCTGCTGCCAGTTTATTGTCACCCTGCTTTTACATGCATGACAGCATAATTCAGAGGTCTTGATGCAGCTCAGCATCTACACTGTGCTTAAATTTAAAGACAAATCCTAGAATAAAATTACAATGCCAGGATACCATCAGTGGGCTAAAGGGCAATACCAAGGGCACAGAGGGCAATGGTGTTTTTCATCCATAACATGCAATTTAATTCCGGTTCGTTTCAAAAAAGGAAGACTGAAAAATACGTGCCAAGTGAAACAGCGTGGTAAGGAGCACGAGTGCTAAGCAAGCTCCAGCTTGCTTGCTGGAGCTAAACAAAGATTAAAGAAGTCAACCTAAAAACTGAAAGGAACTAGTGAAGATGAAGAACATTACTCGTATGAGAACAACTGCATCTTGGAACCTGGTAAATTTAAGAAGGGGATTATTTGACACAGAATTTGCAATAGCAGGGAACTCAACTGAATGATCTTGGTGTCCCCCTGTTTAACACTGACTGAAGTCATGGTCCTGGTCATCCTGAAAGCGTTAGGAATGTTTTACCCTCTGCTATACTATGCACATTTATAGGAAGAAAACGAGAACAGCATGTAGGCATGATGCTGAAAGGTGAATCAGAAAATCACATGCACTAGAATTTAAAAGTCAAACTCATGCTGACAATCTTAGATGATGAAAACATAGGGAATTCTTTCTCTGGAAAAAAATGCAAAGGATATTTGATTTATATTTCCATCTGAAAAATGGTAACACTTACTTACAATGGTTCTGGTTCTGACTTTAAAAGAAAAGGTGATAACCAAATGACCTGACATTGTCTCCCTCCCTGAGAGATCTACCTAATTTCAACAGCACCTAACATATGATCACTGAATGAAGTTCAAATCAGTACCACAGGCACATAAGACGGTAGTTTTGTAACCGTGACTACCATTTCTGGTCAGTCCATAACAGGTGGCAGGAATTACCTTTTCCATATCAACAGACAGCTCCGCAAACCATTGCCTTGCATCCTTCTGCTGGACAACACAGGCCACATGTAGGCAAGCTGCAAAGATCAGGTGACACAGATATTGAAAAAAGTTCCACTCTGTATACGGTTAGAAACATTCTATGTTTCATAAACAGCACATGGAATACATCAATGTAAACATGACAAGAGATATTATGTGTTACTTACCTAGAGCTATCATGAAAGGAGGGTACAGCAGACAAAGATCAGTTCTATATGTGTCATTCACTATCCTCCTGCGCAAGAAAGAACTTGTAAGTATTGTCCTATTCACCTTTAGACTATACAATTTCAAAAGCTGCTGTCAGTTTATACGTATTTTGCCAGTTCCTCAGTAGAAGCCGTGAGGCTGCAGGGCAAAACAGCAAGGGAAGAGATCTCTTCCCTTGTAAAAATCACTAAAGCCTTTCACTTCTTTCCTTGTAGTCACAGCAGAAGTTTATTCGGAAGCACTATTATAGTGCCATAAATGTCCTTATGCAGAGGGCGCTGACATACACCATAAAATAATTATCCATGTTTCACAAATAAATAAGAGCAAAAGTAAAAGTAGCATTTTCACTGTCCTTCTGCATTTGAGAAATAGTTCAAGAATGAGAGTTCTGCTAACACAGCTGTAAACCCCTAGATATTGCTTCTACCTTCTATGACAAGATACAACAGAAAGCCAACATCTACAGAAAAAGATTACCTCTACTCATAGTCACCATTCAGTAGTGTAAAAAACTGTGCTATTAGATCTAGTCTAAAAATAAAAATTAGACCACAGTGAAGTAAAATAATTTCAGCACTAAAGACAGAATAAGCTAAGTCAGGGACATATCCTGCACAGGTTAACTAGGGCACCCTTCATATTCAAATATGGCTAAGCCTGCTTTTGCTTAACCACCTTTGAAACATAACTGATAAAACGCTTTCTTGCTGAAAGGAGGCACTATTGTTAATTATTGTCTTCATTACCATGCGAGAGGTAGCAGCATGTCTTCTTGGCCCATATCTTGCACATATTGGAGCAAAGGTCTATAAGGATGATATACTATCAAACAGCAGTCCTAGGAAAAATGTCAACAGGATGAAAGTTAGGTTACAATGCAGAACGTGTTGTCAGTTCATATTAAAACCATTTGGTTTACAAGTCAATTACTGATTTTTTTTTTTAAGTAGCATTCTGACACCTAACCCTGCTCTAATGAGGGCACAGCTCTCTCTAGAATACCATTACATAGCATGGTTGCCAGTCTGTCAACATCTTTCCCCTAGGAGACAGAGAAAGCCACATCTGCAGCACACTGAAACCTCATTTGCTTACAAACCCGTAATTCCCACTTGGATATACAAAACACTGCCAGAAAACAGTCTGTCACTAAATACCATACATGGAAAGCATGCCAAAATAATTGACACTGGTTTGGAAAGAAAGAAAGAAAAAAATCCACTGCTCTCAAATCCCCTCTTTTCAGGCCCAGGTTGGTGTAAACAAGAGAGAGTAACCCTCTTGCAGAAAGCAGCCAACTATATACTGAAGAAATACTACAGGGAAAAGCCACGTTAAGTTACATGTGCTGAAGACTGAAATAAGACAGTTATTACACATACTATATATTACGTAGCATACTGGAAAAAATAAGCTAATAATTCCCAAAATCTAACTTCTTGTGAACACAGTTACTTGTATAAAACTCATGTATACAAAACTCAAGAGTTACTGCCATGTATAGCAGAGGTATCTAGGACTAAATCTGAACAGGTTATCTAAAATGGGGTTATAACAACTCTAAGCACAAACAAAAACTTCTGACACAGCTTCCTCTGTGTCCTGTTCTCAAAACATACCCTTTCCTGGTTGCTGCCTAACTCGCTAGACTGCTCCCTGGCTTCTCTCCTCTTCTCTGCACTTGCACTTGAGCAGAACTACTCTAGTAGAGCAAGCTCGGTGCCTACAGGCAGAAACTGAGCACCTCTTTACCTAAGCCCCCTGAGAAGCCTGGGCTGCATCCTTTCAGCTGCCCTACAAAATGCAGAAAACATTGCTCCAGGTTCTTCCAGGCAAGAAGAAAAAGGCACAGAAAGAATACAATTCTTCATGCTCTTGACAGGCCATTCATCTGGGGAAATAAGGACACTGACATCCCAGTCTTTGCATCAGGACTTACATACAATTACCTTTCTTTTAAAAACAGAAACAGTTCTGGAAATACAACTTTTATTTTACCCTTCCCAACAGTGCTCTAACCACTACAGGATGCAGAGCCATAGATGCTGCTCCTGGCCCCACTGCTCCTATAATGTGCTCTCTTTCTGTTAACTCCAGCTTCAAAACAAGGAGGTGAGAATGCCCTCACTCAGCCTAGATGACAGCACAGTAATTATGGTATTTTGCTGAAAATGTAAATGCTAGACCTGCATGGACATGGACATAGTTCTAAAACTGGAGGGGGGGTAAGAAGGAAGACACCATAATGCATATTTCACAGCACAAAATTCAAAATATTCTTCATCAGTAAAAAGTAAACAGAGGCAACAGTAAAAAAAAAAAAAAAAAAGCAAGCCACCAGAAAAAACCCCACTCACCATTAATTCTAAGAGATAGAATTCACATTCTAGTATCTGCAAAGAAAATCACAGTTAAACAGCAGCAGGTTTCAGACAGCAGAAAGAATAAACCACCATCCAGTTTAATATCGTGATTGCACAAGAATCTCAACACACATTTCCAACAGTCCTAAACGCATTTCATCTAAAACTACAAAACCAAACAAAAATCAAACTACTATTAGCAATTGCCTTACCACCATTGTAACTTAATTCCAGTCATAATAACAATTTTGGATCAACTTTACTAGGAGAGCCTACCTCATTGGCAGTACTTGTCTGATTTGTTCCAACACTTACCAGCAGCAATTGTTCCCAGTGTATTAACAATTAACAGCGATAGAGGAATCTTTTTGTAGAATTAAAGCCAAATGGCCTTTTAAAGAATTTTTAATTTTATATGAAATATTATGTGCAATTATAGTAATTAAATCAGCTCTTATTTTCCACAGAGATAGTGACGTATTAGCAACACCAAGGAAAAAAATGGATTGCTTTGGCTTTAGGAAAGCAATACTCCGAAATATATTTCCATTTGCCTTTATCTGTAAAATAGCAGTGCAGTTTTACTGCAAAGTCTTAGATATTTTATATTCTTGATATATGATTTGGTGAAAAGCCAACCAACAAAAAAGATCAATTTGTCACAGTTGATCTAAAAATAATTAGATCTGGTTTAACATTCAAAGTACTCCAGCACAGGTCAAAACTGGTTTCAAGAAAAACAACATAAATTCTTAGCATTGTGGCCAAGAATGCCTTGAAAACACCTAATAAACCTAAATCTTAATTAATAAATCAAATTATTTTTCAAAGCCATTACATTTTACAGGCAAAACCAAAACTGCTTTCTGTAAGCCAACTGCTCATCTGTGCAAGCTTGGAAGCATCCCAGGTGCAAGGGCTATTTACTTTCCCTGCAGCAATGTATTTGTAAACAAGAACATTCAAAAGAGAGCTAAAAAAATCTCTCTTATCATCATACTACATTACTATTTCAGTAATACATATATTATAGCATTCCTGTCAACAATTTAAGGAAAGGAGGTTATATAAGATTTATTACTTTTAAAGGCAACTTTGCCAAAAATTTATCCAAAACTCATTATGAGCAACCTAACACAAATATGAAAATATTTCTTTCTTAGAATTTAAAAGACAGGATTTCCTGCTACAATTATTTGTCTTTTAATTTATGTGATCAAACTGTATTTTGAACAAAATACTTACATGGTTCATCCTATAAGGAAACTCCTTTGGAAAGGCATACGAAAACCTAGTTTTCACTATGGTAAAGAGAAATCAGTATGTTAAAAATTATGTAATTAATACTTTTACTTCTTTCCCTTTCTGTTAATTCATCTGTGTATAGCCCTTCAAATCCATTTGGCAGCACAACTACTTGCAGTATAAAAGTTTTTATTTGAAGGAGAAAAGTTAATAAGATTCAAGATCCTGAAACGGAAAGAAAAACACACCTGAAACCTAAATTTGCACAGGTACTCAGTCAGACACTTGTCTGCTGCTTTGGGCACTGTTAAATCTTCCAGTTAACCAACAACAACTAGCTTACGGGCACCTAACTTTCCATGAGGTATCATTCACAGAGCTATCTATATACTGATGTCGCTCCAAATCTGGTGATCCCTTCAGGATCTCAGTTCCAACACCAAATCCAAATGAGATTTTCACGTGGTGATTTTTACACAGGCTTGATCCTCCAACATGCAAGATTTTAAACGACATCATGGTCCCCACTTCCACGAAATGAAGAGTATTCCAAAGCAGGCAGAGCTAGAGTAACTGTGGGGTGAATCTTCTACAGGATTCTGATACCTGGGATTTTCAGAAACAGCACAGCTCAGGACCAGATGTCCAAGTAAAATCAGCTATTGCATATTTACCAAAATACATCTAACTTTCTCAATGATGCATCAAAACTGCCACATAGATGTGTGCTTTGAGCTGCTACTGATATAAAAAACAGCTAAATCCAGTATTGGTCTTGGTTACGCTGGCACTGAAGATGCGTTTCAGTCCCTGGTGGTGGAACTGTCATATGGCCAGACCCATGGACTGATACTTACTGCATGTAGAGGCTACAGATACAGCCAGTCACCTGTCCCCTCAATGGCTAAGAGGGATTTCAAAAGCACTGACCTACATTTTGAAGAGCGCAGCCAGGAATTGTCTACTGAGAGCAGCTGGACCTTCTGGGTCAAATTATAACATTCAGTTAAGGAAGCCATCAGTTTAAGACCTTGATGGATAAGATGCAAGTTACAGAAACTCGGAAATACAAGGTGAGTGGGAAAGATAGAGAATTTAGTAACTACAGTATGATTTTATTGCATTTATTTGTGAACAATGTATTGGTTATTGTCCTGGGTTCAGCTACAGCAGTCATTTTTTCTCCTTCTTAGTAGCTGGTGCAGTGCTGTGTTTTTGACTTTCAGCCTGGGAACAACTCTGATAACACCGATGTTTTTAGTTGTTACTAAGTAATGTTTACTCTGACCAAGGACTTTCTCGAGAGTCTCATGCTCTGCCAGGGAGGAAGAGCACAAGAAGCCGGGAGGAAGCAGAGGCAGGACACCTGACCCAAACTGGCCAAAGGGCTATTCCATACCACAGCACGTCATGCCCAGTATAGAAACTGGGGGGAGTCACCCGGAAGCCCAGATCACTGCTCGGGTCGGGCTGGGTATCGGTCGGCGGGTGGTGAGCGGTTGTGTCCTCTCCCCTTGTTATTTCCCTTTTCATTATTATTGGTGGTAGCAGTAGTGGTTTGTATTATACCTTAGTTATTCGACTGGTCTTATCTCAACCCTTGGGAGTTACATTGCTCCGATTCTCCTCCCCATCCCTCTGGGAGTGGGGGGAGGAAGAGGGTGGGGAGCGAGTGGCTGCGTGGTTCCGAGTTACCAGCTGAGCTTAAACCACGACAGTTATAAAATGTACTTTTATAAATATCATGTGCAAAGACTAATTTTATGATGGGGGGGAAAGGGAGGTAAAGGAGGGGTAAGGATTAATAAGAAAACAAAAAAAAACCCCCATCCCTCTGGGAGTGGGGGGAGGAAGAGGGTGGGGAGCGAGTGGCTGCGTGGTTCCGAGTTACCAGCTGAGCTTAAACCACGACAGTTATAAAATGTACTTTTATAAATATCATGTGCAAAGACTAATTTTATGATGGGGGGGAAAGGGAGGTAAAGGAGGGGTAAGGATTAATAAGAAAACAAAAAAAAACAAAAAAAACACGGAGGTATACAACCTTCCAATAATTCTGAAAACAGGTACTTCCATGAAGCCGTATCTTTTATAAAGCGGACAAATAAAGCCCTAAGTTTCCAGTTCTACCTTCTGAGTAGTTCAGAATTCAATTTACTACTTGAAACTGTTTATAAACCTCTATAGTTTAATTTTATTACTTTGGTTTTATTTATGCTTGGCATAAGTTCCAACCAGAATCAACCAAAACTAATACAGAAAGGACGCGTCTGTTTCTGTATTTAGAAACAGAAGTTATTTATTCTAAATGGCTCTGACTGGCTTCTAGAAGTCAAGACACAAGCCCCACCATGACATGATAAAAAGCTACCTTTTAACAGCAAGCAAACATAAAAAACCCACAAAGAAAATGTCAGAGCTCCCTATCGAGGTACCTAACCAGAGTAAGGTAAATCACTGATACTTACATACAGAAGTAGCAGCAGAAATCAACCTTGTATTTGAAACAACACCAAATTCCTGAAGAAAAAGAATGATAAATGATGTGAACCACCTGAAATAGCATATACTCGCACTGTTATCAAATTAAAATAATAGCTTCTTACTAAACTGGGCTTCTTTTACGCAGTATTTCTTTCCCCCCACGCACCCCTTTTTTTCTTTTTTTTTTTTTAAGGTGAAGAGGGTAAACTCTTAGGTAAAGAGTTTTTTCATCAATTAGTTACTTTGTTGTTTGAGTTGTGAGGAATATTAAACATTTATGAAAGGTACTAAAGTCACAAAAGTTCAGTTTGATAACACGCTACATATAAAATAGACAAGAGGGCTTCAAGAAAGTATGCTGGTTTTCCTTATCCCACTTGGGAAAGAAAACTACCTTTAGAAATCTATCTTTAGCTACCTTTTTATTATGTTTCCATTAAGCCTTAGCTGCTCTGCTGAGACAGTCAGCAAGCTGAAAATTTTCTGATACGGTGTTCTTCCAGAGAAGTGTATAATTACTGGTACAGTAATGATACTGATACATTCCAGAGAAGTGAATCATTACTGCTAAAGTTGCCCTCTAAAGCTGCAGAAACTTTAGCATAGGGAGGGCTGCACAGACTTCTAGTATTCCTTCTAAAATACAAGGTACATCTATATATATACACTCTATGTCTGTACTTTCTTAAAAGCTTAAAATACTCTCTCCAGTACTCTGTCTTTCTCTTCCAAACACTGAAAGGTATCGCAGCATTTGTACAGACAACAGCACCACATGCAGACACTGGTTTAGCAGGACTGCTTCTACCATCACTAGGTATTTGAGTTTCTCCTGTAAAATTCATTTGCGTTGACATATCACAAACTGGCCACTGTGATTTTTTTATTCCATTACGTAGACACTTCTCAAACAGCTGAAAAACTTCCTGCTTTACAAAGGATTAGGAGCAGTGCCCAGCTGATGCTAAGTCTTGGCCACATTCAAAGTGGACTTCTAATGGTGGAGGCATGGAGCCTTCTCAACACTAATGGGTCAGTTCCTTACAATAATTTCTCAAAGATGACGTATGAGCTACAATATACTTTTAATTTAAGTAATGAAAGTGTGGTAAACTCTGATAATCCCTCACTATATGAAAGGGAAAAGGGCAATTAGGAAAAAATTTCAAATTAAGTTTTAAAGTTTGAGTAAACATAAATAAGGAAAAACACACCAGAAAGGAGACACTGCACAATTTGAGATATTTGAGTATGTAAATATGTAAACACTGTATCACAGTGAAACAGCCATTTAAAGTACTCCTTCCAATTTTCAGAGGTCCTTCAGGGTTAGTAGTTCAGACAAAATTGAAAGATCAAATACTAAATAACATGTTTGAAGGCCTTCTCCATCTCCTTTTCTCAAATGCTATAGAAATCTATACAAAAAAAAAAGAGAAGGTTTCAAACCCCAAAGCATGAAGAATGACAAAAAATTTACAAGTTCTAAACGTTTTTTCTCTCTCATACATCACATAATTTTACATTAAAAAATTGTAATACTTCATACCTCTACTTTGGATGCCAAAAACACACACGTAGGAGCCATTAATACTGGATCTATACTTTTTAGGGAATATCTGAAATGTTATAACAAAATTATAATATGTTGTTTCATACACGTAGAACGATTAATCTATTAAGAGCACCACACTTCCTTTTGAAAAGCAAAGCTTAAGTTAACTATTAGCATAAAAGTTTTATACCATCCAGAAAACAAAGTGGCACTGGTTTTAATACAGAACTGCATTTTAAAAGGGCTACCAAAATGTGCCTAGCAAATGTTTTATTCTTGTACCATCATAGTAAACAGTCCTACCTGGCATAGAATCTCTTGAAGTAGACTGTAGCAGTGGCAATAACTTGTTGTCTTAATTTAAGATGTTCACCTAAAGCCTGGATAACTTAAAAAAAAAAAAATGAACAGAAGCTTGAGTTGAGTTTTTACAACAATTTGACACCAAATAGCACAGGATCTCAAAACATGACTAGTGCTGGGGATTCTAAGGAGCAGCAGCAGTCTTCTCCCTCAGTTCAGATACGTAGTTCTGGTGAGATAACATGTTCCTGTAAACCTACAGACCTGCAGGAGAAGAATCAGCACTGCATCCTGAAGCTTGTGGACACCTTTGAAAAGGGAAAAGTAACTTCACTGTGTACAAAGTGAGTATGATCTTTAAGAAGATGACAACGCAAATCTTACAGGGGTAAAGCTTGAGTATTCCATTTTAGAGCAAAACAAAATCAAACATTTAAAATGTAAGTCTACGGCTTTTCAGTGCCATGCAAAATGATGTTTTGGGTTGGGGTTTTTTTTCAACCAACTAAAGCTGCCAACACAAACATGGTCATTAAATTTGGCAGAGGCAGCAGGTGTTAAAAAAATGACATATTTAGTCCAAGGAGAGGGGGTGGGAGACCAGAGGATGCAGTCAGCTGCTCCATCATGGTGGTCCTCTGCCAGTTGGCTGAGAAACAACCCTGGTGTCATCTGTGCAGGTAGCTCTTGTTTGGCCTCCCAGGCAAAGGAAAGGTGCCAAGCAAATTAGAGGCATCAAGCTGGGATTAAGAGCAGTGGTTGGATATAGAGAATGGCACAGTGAAACATAAGGTTGTTACTTGTTATTTTTCCCATACTTCTTTGCAGCCATTATTCTGAGCAAGGCTTGACTATGTTAAGACTCCCTCTTCTTTTTCCCTCCCTCACCAGAAATGTCCAAACCAACAATTTAAAATACACTGAAGCATATATTTAGAGTACATACCACAATACCAAGATAGTGACCACTAATGGGAAAAGCAAACAATTCTGTTACAGTCATCACTGAATTCTCAGTCACTACTTAAGCACCCCGGTCCAGATTTCTTTTCCCTATGCTCTTATCCCATACCCTTGGGAATAGTCAGGGTGCACCCTACTCTCACTTCTAATGAGCATCACAGTATTTTAAAACATGCAAATATCAAGGGTGTTGTTGGCTAGAAAAAGGCAGAAGGTAGGAGATAAAGGAGAAAACCACCCTGAACAGCACGGATGATGGGCAACTTCCCCACCCCTGCCCCAGGAAAAGGTAACTAATTTGACACCCACTACCATTACCCAAAGCAACATTAAATCCCTGTCCATGTCATATCACTCCTTTCTTGAACAGAAGAATGCCAAATTGAGACTAGCTTGCCAGTGATAGCAGGACAAGCAGTACTGCCAGCAAGGAGGTTAAGCCTGGTATGCAGTGTCTCCACAAATATTAAAATATTTATCCGCATACCTTGGGAGGTTTGAAAGGATTTTTCCCTCTGATTTGACCATGAGGCTACAAAGCTGTCCTGCTACTAGGGCATCAGGAAAAAATCAAATATTCAGCTAAACAGAATTCTCCAAATATGTTTCTTACTCCCATGGGATTTTCAGGAACGGTTAGGCCATCTGCTGTCAGAGAAAAATCAAGTGTGGTTTAGGGAAAAAAAATGGACAAGAGCCTAGAGAGACTTAATGAAATGGAAGCTTGTATACGCTGGGAAAAGATCCAATACTTTTAATTAATTTTTAAATTTTTTTAAATGAAACTACTGGATTATTTATTCCCTTCTGTTTACAATAGAACTGGTTTCAGTGGGGGTTTTTTTAATAAAAATTATTTAAAATCTGAGTATCTTGAGTAGCCTGTAACACAAACATTACAGCTTCTGCCCTAAACCAGAAAGGAAAATCAATTAATGTGCTTTTCAACCAAAAACTGTATTAAGACTTGGTGATCCAAAGAGAGAAATCAACATCAGTTTCCCTTTTTGAACTATTTTAGAAGATGAGTTTTCATTCTTCAGAGTATTAATACTCTGAATAGTTGTGCATGGCCACACAATCGGTGATCTATTGCACTTGTTTTCCAAAGAGAAGGCAGCAGGAAACTGCCCCTCTCCAGGCAATTTTCTGGTTGCTTTAGGGAACAACCACATCTTGGGCAGACCCACACTGAACGTGACAAGCCATGCCCAAGACTCATATCCGTACTCAGGTAATGCAAGAGGTGGGAGAGAAGAGAGGGAGGCTTTATGAACCCAAAGCAGGGCCCTATTCAGAGGCAGGTGTTGATAATACAACACATACCAAGGGTGTGAAGATGGCAAGCTCTGCCCGAGCTCCCGCCAGTACACAGCAGCCCCTGTCCATCCTCCCTGTGACAGTGGCTCACTTTGCTACTGAAGGGTTGAAAGCCCAGCACCACTCTCCTCCATGGTAGGCTATGTTCATACACGCACAAAGGAGATGCTGGCAGAGCTGTTCTCCAGCTGCCACAGGTCACACGCTGCACCTTCAGGGAAGGCAAGGAGTGCCAAGAAAAAGAAGCCTGAGAACCACAAACTGAAAGCAACCTGTCTACCTTATAAACCTTTGTTTACTCAAGAAAAATGCTGAAGTGAAACATTTTTAAAAGCCTATTTTGTAATTTGAATTAAAACTAGTGAAAATTAGCATAGAAATACAGTTTTAGAAATACCAGTACCCCATTTTCTCATTTTGCATTATGAAGCTATAACACTTGGTTTTAAACTCAAGGAATTTCAGCGGCCTTTGGTAAGTCCAGCCAGATAGCATTCTCTACTTTAAAAGACTGCTGTGAAAAAATATTTAAAGAGCTTTCTGCAAACAAATTGCTCCCTTGCAATATCCTTGCTTAGGGAGTGGTTTGTTTGGAGTTTTTTTTAATGCTGAACAATTGCACAGAAAAGAGTTTAAGTGCCTGCGTAATCTGAAATGCTCTAGCACGACGGTTCATATGGTTAAATGCTTTGCAGGACTAAGTAAATCCTAGATAACTTCACAGGCAAGCCCCAAACACTGTGGGAGAACAGCCTGCCTGCCAACAGCTCCTGGAAACTTGTAGACAACTTGAGAGCCACCCGGTGCTAGGGAATGAGTCACAAGGCAAGACATAGGCTGTGGTGCAGGTTTCAAAGAACGTAACTGAGCACTAGTAACAAGTTTCCAACCATTGCTGTTCAACAGGACTGCACAGATCAGCCAAAATACTTCCCACAGCTTAATGGCCCACCAAAAGCCCCATCTGAGTATTACTGTTTACATTAAGCCCTTACTATACTAGCTTAGCAGCTTCTCCTTGCTTCTCCTTTTTGGTTAAGGATCTCTTGAAAATAAGACGTACTAAATGTACAAATGTGATTTGTTCCGTGACACGTTAAAACATTATGTAATGCAGCTGGCTTGCCTGTAGGTTCTCCTGAATTGCGTTAATACCACGAACAAATGACAATGCTATTGATATTCTAGTTCTTTGTTAAAACAGGCTGTGAAAGTGTACGTAATATCACAATGAAAACATTACATTCTCTAAGCAATTCAAACTTGTATTTAGATGTGTCAGACACTGAACAAATTTTACAGCAGAAATAAAAATAAAAGTTTTACCATTAGTAAAAAATATCTGTAGCTTCCAATATTCTTCTTCAGTCAGGAATTTCAAGTCTTTCTGGCGTTCCTTCAATAGATCTTGTTTATCCAAAATCCATTGTAAACTAAAGGAAGGTAAAATAATGTCAGCAACTCTTTGTCAAGATTATACTGTCTACTGGACAAACAGACTACAGACCGAGGCTCACGTCTGAAGGGCTAGTGACCTTTAAGCAAGCCTCATACAGTCCTCTCAAGCCAGCATTGACTACAGATTTTCAAAGGCAGACACTGGAAAAGCACTAACTACCAGGGACCAGGATTAGCCTTTACCTACAGCAAACTAAACTGGCTTTACAGACCTCACATACTGTCACTCACCAGCAAGCTTTACGTTATATTTAGCACTTCACGGGCACCCATTTAAGCCTCGACGCGCTCACCACGCGGTATGTTAACGCAGCCCGGCCCTGGCTGCCCCGCCGCCGGGAGTAAATATATC